GTGCAAACATAAATAGCTGCACTGTGCTCTTACTCCGAGGTAGTCTGAACTGGGTTTAGCAGTTTAATCCTCACTTCATTGATGCTACTGGAAAAACCTGCGCTGTTTGTAGAGAACTAAGACCTGAGACGCTTAAGCAGAAAGTTTCTCTCCAATTATACACTGAAAATATCTGCCTTGTAAAGTACCGTACAAATTTGACATCAATGAAAGTGCAGCCTCGCTTTTCATTGCTGCCCTACGGCTCCTGACCTCTCCATTGCACGCCTGCCCCCCCGGGCCAAGCTGGTCCCCTTCCATCTGCTCTTCTTCTACCTCCATCCCGTCCTCCTCCCGCCCAAAGCTTCCCACCTCCTCCACGATTAGATGTAAATACAGGTTTTAGCCACCCGCTGGTCCTCACATGCTGCCCACACTGCTTCAACCTGAGATAAATTTTTAATACATTTAGTGAAACACTAAACTGTGCGATGAAGACACACAGCTGGCAGAGTCCTTTGTATGTTCTTATGAATTTTGTGAAATGCTTTCCTGTTAATCTAAGGAACTTACCCTGCTCTCATTACAACTGCCTGAAATTAATTAGCTCAAGTCATGGGGGTTAAATATTATAACGTTGGTGATGAAACCTTCTACTGTACATTTAAAGTGTAAGAACTCTTACAGAGACACCCCAATTTTCATTATATGCCAAAGTCTACAGACAGCACAAAGGGACACCCATCTTGATAACACGACCCCCAAAACAAGACCCAACCAGTGTTTTCAGAAACACTCAAATAGTCCAACTTTGTTCAGACAAAAACCAAGAATAAAGAAGGTTAGCAGTGGTGGCAGCAGTGCTGGGCTGGTCCTTCCTACTTCGCAATCCACCCTAAGTCTTTAATGCACTCACTCTCCCCAAAATACCCCTCAGATTGTGTTTTGTAGTTACACTTGAGAGAAGTCTTTTTGTATTTCCTTCTAGATTTTGAAACTGATTTGGTCTGTCTTCATAATATTAACAATGGCATTTTATATTTCTCTCTACTTGAAACCCCACTGGTCTGAATTGAAAAATGAACAAGCATGAAAAGTAATGTACATTATGATGGTGTTTCTTCAGAAAAAAACAATAATCAATTCCTTTGGAACACTTGCAGCACCTGCTGCTCTCAAAAAAAAAAAATCTGTTTGCCACACCCCTAATTTTGGTAAAATGCATTGCTTTAATACATTTGATGGAGCTCTGCCAATTTACTTCTGCTAACCTGGCTTAAAGACAGCTTGTTCTCACATTTACTCAAGATCAAGTTACAATATGGAAAATCCTGATTAACAGGAATTTTTAGGGAGCATTTCACTAGTATGAAATTAACAGAAAAGGTGAAAATTTCATATACTACTGAGAAACTCAGGGTCCAGATACATAAAAAGCATACATTTTAAGTCACCTTGTACTTCTTAATTGGAACAGCAGACACAAATAGTCCTCTGTATACACCTCATACAGATGTTGATAAACTACAAATTAATGATTCAGTCTTCCACAAAATCTGTACTCATTTTACAATTATCCCACTTGAATGGCCTAAAATTTAATTCTCAGGAAATTTAATACAAATTCCAATTTTAGCTTTCTTCCAAACTTGAATTATTTAACTGCCCTTCCTTCCTCTTAAGAATAGGAACCCTATTTTGTCAGTGGGCCTCATCCTCATTTACTCTGTAATGCGAACAACCAATTATAATCACTGAACAGAAATGCACTGTGCTATCAAAACAGAATTGTGCCATTATATGTTTCTAGCGCTCTTTATTCATAAATATAAAGCACATAGGAAAAACTGATTCTCAAGTTTTATTCCATTCATTTTCCAATTTGCTTGAAAGGACTTCCAGAGGCATTTATGTATTTCTTGGAACAGGAACTCCATTAAGGCTGATTCAGGTATATTCTACATAGACACTCAATTAGGACAGTTGCCTATCCCTAACAGAAGTGGCTGTCTGTGAATTACTGATTTAACAATGACTTGAAGCAGTCCCCAATGCAACGCCTATTTGAAAATATCCCTATCATATCCTTTTTTTTCCCCTCCTCTCCAGTCTGCTGTTTGCTGAAAACATCTCCTTGCCTCTCTGCATGACAAAGCATCTAGAAATGATTCATGCTGTAAGGCTTGTAATATGAAAAGCTGTTGAACTCCAAGCAATCTTGTTTCTTTTTTCCTTGTGGGACATTAAAAGAAGAAGAAAAATAAGGAGACTCAAGAAGAAGCAGATTTAAAAAAAAAAAAAAAAAAAAAAAACAGGGTAAAATAGGCAAGAAGCAGTGAATTACAGCAGAAATGCAGAATCATGAAGAAGGACCAAATGCACCATTGACTGGAGACTCGATTACTTTCTGAGTCCTTGGCTTCATCCAACTTCTGCAAGTGTTGGCAGGCTTCACTACAGACCATTTTTCACCTTAGTTTTTGTTTTACTTGCACCATTCCTTATGTCCAAATCAGATAATCCTTTACAGATTGCAAAAGAAAAAAAAATACCACTGAATTACGGATAGGTAATGTTTTCTGCTTTCCATATTTGAATCTAGATTTCTTTTATTCCCTCCTCTGTTGCTAAATCAACGATAAGGCCTTAGCTTTTCCTCCCTACTGCTGAGCAGAAGCATACTGTTACTATATGTTACATTTCTTCTCCTCCAATAGAAAAGACAGCCCAAGCATAATGAAGTTGTGACCTGAATGTAAATTCGTTTAACTCTTCCCCAATGGTCTTTTTATGAATTAATTTCATTTCTGTTTTAAAATTACTTGACTTAAATTGTTCCTGCAGTTGGAAAATACGAACACTTGGAAGTCTTAAAACAAAGTTAAGTACATGGCTAAGTAATAAGAAAATTGCCAACCTATCACCAGAGTAAAATCATAAAATAGAGGAATGTGCTATCTGTCAAAACAAGAACAAAGCATGTTGACCTGAGCTCAGAACGGTCTTGGTGAAAAGAGGAGAAACCATGGCTTGTCTTTCATACTGGGATAGATGACCCTGCTCAAATCCTATGGGAATGCATCAAGGATGACAAAAGGCAGCCTAGCAAAGAACTGAGGGAAAAGAAGTTCTTCCAGTTTATAGAAAACAAAACTGAAGTTGAGACAACACATAAAGGATTAGCATCGTATGAAAAAAAGAGCAGGGCTATCTTACTGTTGGAATGAATTCATGGAAAAACTTTAAGGATAGACATATCTAGGACATTAATCACGAAGAACTAAGCCTGTCATGGCTGATGAGAGTGTCAAACTGGGTAAGAAGATTAAGAGTAACTCTGTAACTTTATGTCTGGCTAACACGTAGAAAGCAAAAATCAGATAAATGAGACTGTATTAGGGGACAGGGTAGGATAACACAAAGCACAGAAGAGTACTAGCTTAAATGTAAGCAAACATCAGATAACCAGCTGATCTGGAGAAACAAACTATCTAAAGCCAAATAAGCCATCTCTTCTTAGAGGGAGGGCAGAAAATAACAAAACAGAACACCTGGCATAAGTAAAAAACAAGAGAAATGGCAGCATGAAGTTACCAACAAGAGATTTTTGAGAGGGTAACCAGATATATTTTTCATAAGGAGACTACCTCCCAGGCAAGAAAGTGCTGAAGATCAAAGCCTCCTTTCCCACCCCATCATGAATCTTTCACCCTTCAAACAAGGTTCAAATCCCATGTCTCCACATATATGACACATGCGTTGCACCCTTTCTCCTGTGTTTCCTGCCTCTTCCTAGATCCTCAGTCATGAAGTGAATTCTTCCAAGCTTTGGTGACATAGGTCATCTCCATCTACTCAGCAGCACTCTAAAGGAACTCAGAATCAGCTTCAGACTCTGATGCTCATCATGGTATGATGATTCATAAGCTATAATTGGAGACCTATCTGCCCAGGGTTCAGTGAAGTATTTGATATGGCTGTTCATGGAAAATTTTGCTGGAGAAAAAGATTGCTACAACTCCTACAATAGATTCAGAAAGTAGCAGGGTGAACATACTAATAATTTTTAAGATGGAACTGGTAGATTTATGAAAATATTTAGATGACATGGTTGCATGTGCTAGCAAGATAAGGATCTGTGTGATCTAGGAAGCACGCCCGAGTTCTGTCTTCACATGACCACCTCCAAATTTGCCTCTTAGAGGTAGGTGAGGACATGTTTTGCTCTTAAGAAGTTCAGCAGAACAGCTACAGTTTTCCAACACTCAATTCAATAGACATCATTTCTGATGAGTGCTCATGGCCCGTATGAGACTCTACTTCGACAAAGCAACTATTTTCCGCCCAGGAGCAGAAACACTTCATATCTTCCTCTAAGCATATAATAACCACAATAAAGAAACGAGACAATAGAAATTAGAATAAAACACCAATTTCAAGAAAGCAAACTTTCAATATTCTTTTAAAATCTGTTTCTTAACTGAATAATAACCACACACCGCTATCTATTTAAGATATTGCGTACTGCACATATTAAGAAATGAGGTACTGTGAAAAAATGAATAGCTGATGATGCTTTTCATATTGCACATGTTGCAAGGAAGAAGTATTCTTATAACTTAAATCTCACTGCACTGTCAAAAAGTTCCTAGAACCAGCAATATGATACGCAGCATAAAACAAAGCGTTAGGTTTGTGCAAAAGCATTATGTTTTTCCAATTGCCAAAACATTAAATGATTGTGTGATTCTTGTTTCAAGACTGATCCTGGAAACACTGTTAAGCCCACACTGTTTTCTACACTGATAAGTCTCTTGTAAGACTCGGTGAGTATCAGTGTTACATTCATGGTTTTGCTCCTTCAAAACACTAGAGGAAGAAAATGTTTACATGGATAGAAAAAGGACATGTAAGACAGTCTAGAAGAAATATTATTTTTAAAACTAATTCTATCTTTCACAGCAATGGTTCCTCTTTCTTCCTACCAGTAGTATGTTAACACCATCAGTACTGTACCTTACCTCAGAGCTGCTTGGGACTTCCGATCCTGCAGTTGAAATAGTCTCACATAAAGGTCCATTGCATTCTTCCCCTAAGGAACATTGAAAGAAAGACAGATTCACATAAATACACTCCTTATTTTAAAATATTATTGTATCTGAAAGTGGTGTGCATCTTGAAGCCACAGAACTATGAACAAGCAAAAGCAAAAGCTGGAAAATAATGCTGAGCTACATAAAACCTCCGAGAATGGTTCTGTGAAGGGGAAAAAATGCTGTGAGAGACAATATACTCAGCCTGTACTACCTGGTTGTAACCTTGCAGTCACAGACACATACTTTTAACTGTGATAAACAAAAATCTGTCAGCGTCACGTATCTTTCTTGTCTCAAATGTCTGCCAGGTTACTGTCTATGAGGGTCTCACACCCGGAGCTTTGCTGCCTCAGTTATGAAAGTTCAATTATCTCTGGAGTTGCTTGCTAGAAATTGAATTAGGTTTTTTGTTGCTAAGGGATTAATGGTGCATAACCTCAAGATTACAGAAGCCCACATAATGGAGACACAATGACAGGATCAAGAATAGTAATGTCAACTTAAATTACCAAGCTTCTTGTTGTTTAAAAAAAACAAAACAAAACCCCACAGAAAAAAAATCACCTTCATTTTAACAACAGTATTGAACTCCAGCGTGACTTTCCTGCAAATATAGTCAGTTCACCAAGGACACTGTCACTTAAATGTTAACATTATAGGGAAAAATCACATTGAGTATCTTCAGATCCCTAAATCATACTGAGATGTTGGCTGGGTTTGGGGCTCTGGAGAGCAATTCAGAGCCCCTAAGCTAGGCTCCTGCTCCAAGAAGTTTTTGTAAACAACCGTCTCTCTGCTGATTAGACAGACAGACCAGTCTCCTAAATCAGGCATCTAAATAAGTCCACCACCAATGGAAAAGGACAAGCAGTTTTGAAAACAGCTCATCACGGTCTAGAGCAGGCATCTAATAATGCTGCCTCTTTCTTCCAAAACAAAGATGCATCATGCTCCTTTCTCCATCGAGGAAGTATTGCTGCGTATAGCTTCAACTGGACAAGACTGACTAGCGCATCTTAGACTGAACCACTGTCAAGACAACTACAGTTAGATTATTCCTACCAATAAAACAAATGTACTTTTTTTTTTTGTAACCTGCAAATATTTGGTGTCAAAATTGCATCCAGGCAGGACAAACTCATTCTTTGAAAAATGTATAATAAGCTACTCAAGTAGAGCTTCAGAGCACTTTGTTTCCTCTAATTTTTTTCTGTGTCTAAATTCACTTACAGAAAATGGTCTCTGTACTTTACAACTGTACATATGATGTGATGAGAAACTGGGCAATGGTATATAATGGTATATACATATAATGAAGAAGTTTCTGAATGCTAAGACATTTAAAGTTGTTGCATGCCATTCTGCTGAAACAAACTATGCCTGCAAAATCTGTATTAGTAGATACAATTTGAACACTTAAGTTTTACTTATGCACTTGTAGAAAGGTGTTTCCATATGCTGATACAAGCGTGGAGACCAGCATTGAGCCATCTCTAAAAAGTTAGCCTGAAAGTCAATAATTTGGGATCGTTCTTCCTACCCAAATATATCATAAATGCTACAGGGACTACGCTGTAAGAGAGAACACCAAACATAGAAAAGGTTTACAGGAACGGTTTCAGCACAGCCCTGAATTCAGTTCACCTCCCAACACAGCACAAGCGCTTCAACATGCAAGAGAAACAAATGGCACATAATGGGAGAATATCGTAGCAAGAACACAGAAGCCTTGACTCAAAAACCAACAACTATCAAAAGATTCAGATTAACTTATGTGAGAAACTGTTTCTGCAAGAACACTCCTAAGGAGAGGCTCTACCTTCATACAGGGCTGGCTCTAAGGTTATGCAAAGTCAGCAGCTGCCCAGGACAGCGACTGCTGCCTGATGAAAGAAAAGGAGCAACACCATCACGCTCCGTACCTGCTCTGCCTACAGCCCTGGGATGCAGGTGCCTGCTGCAGCTTTGGCCAAAGGTAGCGAGCCCAGGGCCCAGGAGCAGAAAGCCCAAACATTTCATCACACAACCCTTCGTGGCAGGAGCAGCCTGGCACCTTGTCCCTGGAGCAGTAACATCCAATTTGCCTATGCTGCTGAGAGGACTTGGACTGATTCCACAGCCTACAACAACAGCCTTGGTGTTGTTTTTTTCTGGATTATGCTTTCTGTAGTTGTGAAAGTTTAACCTCAGGAACAAGCACGATTCAGAGTTTTACATTTTAAATGCTCTCCCCAGTACCATAGCTGATTACTTATGCAACTTGTCGAAGGAAATCCTCTTGGTATCACTGATCCAGGGGAATAAAACTGAATAACCCTAGAGCAGCACACAAGAAGGCAAAAAGAGAATGCAAAACATATATTAACTGAGAAGTATAACACACTTAATACATTCACTCTTTGAAAAACACATCAACAGGTTCCTGAGCAGGAGCAGTACAAGAAACGCACGTCCCTGTCATGTAGGAAGGTGTGAAGGAGCTGCAACCCAAAACTGCAACAAGCACCAGGAATGAAGATGCCCAATTAGTTCTTAACCAAGAGAGCTGCCCACAGATAGTGAAAAATTGACTTGCCAATCACATTGCAAAAAAGCCTGGCTCATATGTGATATCAATGACTCATATAAACTTAAGTCCGATTTCCAAGGGGCTCTCAGCAGAAAAAGAAGGAGAGGGGACACACAAAAGGGAGGAAGGCATAATGCCAGTTAGTACAATACCTTCTGACCACGATGGCTTGAACTTGGTGAGAACCGCATTGTCATCTTTAAAAGGAAAGAACACTTCAGTAAGAACCAGAAGTAAAATCCACTTTTAACATGAACCCATTTAATAACTCTCTTCTATCCTTTACAACACAGCCACTGTATCAACAAAAGAATAAAGCCCTGGAAACCAGAGACTGAGACCCAGGCAGAATGCATGGAGCAGGTTCCTCTTGAAACACCAGCATTGACCTTTTTGTCCAGGCACCTTATTCAGCAACACAAACAAGGATGCCACTTTCCCACATCAGCAGCAGGGAGGACCATAAGAGTTTCTGCTATTCAAGCAAATGCTTTTAAAATTCTTCAAGAAATTACAACTTCATATCTAAAGATGGGAGTAAAACAATAATATTCTGATAAAACCATGATATTTAAGGGAATGGCCTTGTTCTTCAACACTACGTGCTCTACTGTACGTAAAGAGATTTGCACACCAAGAACGAATGAGGACATCTACTAAACATAAATGGCCCTTCAGTACAAAATTCGTTTGTACAAATTGCAGTCACTCCTTGCAAATTTTTTGTTCAAAATAAACTCCAGAATGACGCTACAACTATCAAAACTCATTAAAATCGTTTCAGACATATATAATTTTAATATTTATTCAAAACATTTGCCTTTCATGGGCATGCACATATCCTAGATGAAGAAATGCCTCTTTCCCAGTGTAACCGTTGTCTCCAACAGCCTTACAGTTCTGCGCACCGCTATTTGTAACTCCTTAAACACATGTGTCTTAGGAGTTTGCACTTTATTGGAAATAAGTAAGCTTCACACGGCCTGTAATTTTGCAGCATTAACATACACTGTCCCAAACTACACCCTACCGCAGGGCAACCTACTTATAAACTTTTGGTATGCCACGCCTAAGAATTACAGACCACTTCTATTTCAATTACAGACCCAGATGATTGGATCAACAGTAATTCAAAACAGCTCACAGAAATCAACATTCAGAACTGAAGACTGGAGAATATAATCAAGACTGATTTCGCCTCTTAAAATGTAAGTAGTTTACCCCACAAAAAAATGTACTTCTATTAGTGCAATCTTATGATTTTTGTAACAAGCATGAAAAATGGCTTCTTGTGTAATGAAATGATTAGTCATTGTACAACAGTTTAACTTTGTTACAGTGCCTGAATCGCTTTCTTCTACATGACAAAACTGATTATTTAGGAAAAGATAAAAGGAATTGAACCCCACATCTGGACCCACTGGTTAAAAGAAGTGCTTTAATATGATTAATTAATTTCAGGAATCAAAAAATCGTCCTTCAAAACTTTCCTATTCATTCCATGATGAAAGACAAAAACCCTTAGTGGTCTAGACACCAACATGCTCACAATTTCTCAAAGATGCTACTGTATCTGCAATTTACAGAATCAGCACACAAGCTATTCAAGTAGGACTGGCTGTGACATATTTAAAATCAGATAAATGGATTAGAGACCACATGCACAACCCACCTACCAATTCTCTTCAATGACTACAATGGCAATACAGACTTTATAAAATTAAAGTCACCTCCAAAAAACCAAGCAGCGCAAAATAAATTCTGTTTATTTTGACAAGTGTTTAATTTCATTTACAAAATCTCATAAAACACACGTAAATGTGTTCAGTGCTGTCGCAAAAAAGTAACGATGCCATTGTAAATCAAGGCCTCCGGTAACCCCCTATTTTCTGATAGCTGGGGCAAGGTAACGAGCACCGCCCAGTGATGCCACAGGACTAGTGACGTATATCCCTCCACACGAAAAATGAGCTGCACATTCTCTGGGAGAAGGACAACCCGTCACAGGCTACGTCCTGGTCACAACAGCTGTGCCTCGACTAGGCAAATAAAAGCTCCAGGACACGGGCCCAACCACAGGACTGCTCACTCAGCTTAATTATTAGTGCACTTTGTGGAACGGCTTTTGGCTTCTAGCACTCTCCTAGACAGAGCAGAAACACACTGTGGAGGACACCACAGGCCAGGTTCTGGTCTTCAAAACGGTATGGAGAAGTCTGTCCTGCTTGGGGAAGAAGGGAGTTTAGCCATATGGATGTGGCTGGACTGTGCTACTTGTCCTTGAAGGCCAATGAAAAAAATCCTTGACTTTTTCAGTTACTAGCACAGGCACAGCCAGGGATGCTCTAGCATCTTTAACTGTACCTAACCAGCAATTTCCCTGGAAGACGATGATCTTTATCACTTCAGCATCCTCAGTAAGCTGGGGTCTGCTGGCAGATGGGAAGAAAAAAGCTTGGCCGATGATGCTGCACTCCAGGTACAGCTGGGCACTGAGCAGCTGGTGTGGAGATGCTGCAGTCTGGCACAGTTCAGAGCAACTCTGCATCAGAAAACAGAGCAAAGGCAGGCATTTAAGTTCTCCTTTCTTCCAACTTCTATCACCCTGATTCATCTGCACCAAGTAGAGCTCTCGGTAGATGTGTTTCTACCAGTAAAAATGTTAACATATTAGGTGCTTCTAAAGCCAAATGGCAGCTGAATAGACATTTTTAGGGATCAAAATTTTAATTTTGCTACTAAAACTAGAAAATCATTTGCACTTGCACGCTTAAGACCGAGCTATGCTAAAGGCAAAGTCAGAGCCAGGATGCCCGGGCAGATGTTGATAAACTGTTTATTATTTAGCAGCAGTAAGACAGTATTACTACTGGTCCTGTTATTACTTTCAGTATTGTGTCCAAAATACTGCTTCCATTTATTTCCATGATTTTCTTAGACACAGTAACAGCATCCTTTTCAGTCAACAAAAACATGCAGGTAAAAAGAGCTTTCAGACCTGTCATACTGTTCCGTATACGTCTCACACCTTTGGCATATCAGTTTATGCACACACATATACCTAGAGCAAAATTTTGATGGTCCAGGTAAAATGAAAGAACTCAAAAACCAAACAAACAAAAATCCCAAAAACAAAACCAAAAAAACCCCCCCCCCCCAAAAAAAAAAAACCCAAACCTGAAACTTATGGTGCAGTTGTTACAAGGTAGCTACTTTGTACTACAAAGAAAATTCCTAATATTCATCCTTACAAAGCAATGAAAGAAAATTTTATTCCTAGATGTCTTGAAGTTAGAATCTTACTAAAGTCCTGCCATTATTCAATAACTGGCCTGCCTGACAGAAAAGAGAAACTGATTTAAAACATGACTATTTATCACTAAATCAAGGTGGTATTTATAGTACTGTGTCCTTTGCTCCCAAAAGATCACCATGGGATTCCTGCTGTAGTGGGACCTACTCTGACCGGTTTCCATCTTTGATAAGGAGTCTGATTCAGCACTTAGTCACTAACAAAAATGCACAGTGGACAAAGACCTCTCCAAAATAAGGTCACTCATTCCAAGCAAGCTTCATAATGACTGCTGTAAGTGTTTCCATAGCTTTAAAATGACTTATTAACTAAAACATAGCTTTAAAATGACTTATTAACTAAATTTATTTGTATATGGACCATATCCTCCCAGAGCTGGATGACCGAGTTGTCTAGGGGAACTAAGGACCCACCTAGTATGCTGGCTCCCGAGCAAGTAAAGTAAGTGTTATGACTTCACCTGGCATGGTCTGAAGAGTAATAACTGCACTGCTGAGCCAAAGATTCAATCTCAAGATTATGTTTGAAGTGGTGGTTTTTGCACACTCAGAGCTGCTCCTAAAAATTTAAAACTATTTCTTAACAATGAAAACATCAAATTCTCAGTAAATCCAAGAAAGTTTATTGGGAACACTTTAAGAGAATTTTATGATTAAAAAAAAAAAGATTGCATTCAAGTATAGGCTGCTTCACGGACATATTTCTTTTCAGCATGTGTTTTATTATTAAACAAGCGATTCCAGAGAACAGGGATTTATCAACACATAAGAAGTAAAAGAATAAATAACTATTTTATATAGGCATAAATATATGGAAGAGAAATCTGTTCCTAACAATAACAAAATCTCATTTAGCATTTGGAAAAGACATGAAGTCCTCAGTTCTAATCTCTAGTATAGTAAATGAGTATTTTAAATCAGAACTTGAGGTTTACTCTCAGCTGCCTTCCATTTAAAGAACCATAAAAACTCTCCTTTTGATTAAAAGGCACTGGGCTAAAAAAAAAAGAAAAAAAACCCAAAAGCCAAAACGGGG